ACTTCCTTGTCACCCACTTGCCTTTAGATTTACAAACTCTACTCCCTTTCAAAACTACAGAAGTCTGTACCTTCTCTTTCTGTTTCCCTCCTTCAGTGAGATTTTATATATTTGCAGTAGTTAGAGTCCCTTGCCACAGTCTAAGTTTCTTCCTAGAATCTCCCAACCTCCTAAATGATTTTGTTTGTTTTGTTTTTAAGATTTGTTTATTAATGCATACAGAACTAGGGTACAGGCCAGAGGTGCAGGGGCAGTGAGAGGATTCCCCAGAGACAGAGTGGGGAGCAGAACAGGCAGATCCAAGAAGTACACTGCTCAGGGGAGCAGCGGGCGGGTCAGGAGAGGTCTGCCACGCCATGTGGGTCACCTCTGGGGCCGGGATCGAACTTGCAACAAAGCAGTTGTGGACTGCTTGCAGTGCTGTGTTTTAACCTGTTGCACCACCAGGGAGGGCCCGCTAAATGATTTTTAAATTTCATATTCATTGAGGTTTGCTTCTGTGCCCTAGGTTTCGGCCACAGAGTCACCATCACAGTTTCATATAGAAAGGTCTCACCACTCTAACCCCTGTGCTTAGGTGGGTTGCTACCATCCTGGCTACTAGCCCGCCATCATGGGCAACAGTGACCTACCTGCTACCTACACTTCACAGCAGAGCATTCCTTGGCTACCTACAGCGTATCACTAGGCAGGCCCAGGGACGCCCAAGCAGCTGTTGACCTGACTGTTACGTGACTATCTTCATGGTGGTCTCGGGCTAACTCCGCCTGGGATAGCATCATACGTTTGTTGAAGCCAATGTCTCTTGACGTATGGTCACGATGTCCCTTCCCTGTCCCTCATAAAACTTTGTCCCCCATTCCTATCCCACCGTCAGACCTTATTCCTCATACCATTGTCTCATGATCAGGTTTTAGTAGCCTGTGTGCTTTCAATCAATGGCACAAGAACCTCTGCTAAAGCAGCAGAGTCTTGCCTTGCAAACCTGCTCAGCGCCTGCTATGTTCCTCGCTGAATTCCTATGGCTAATAACAAAAGGTCTTGTTGCAACACTTATTTGTTCATCCCCCAGTCTCTCTCTCTGACCTGCTGGGAAACATGGGTCTTTTCACTGTCTCTGTAGTTTAGCATTTTTGCTGAAATCATATAGCTGGAATCAACATGTAGCGCTTTCAATTGGGCTTCTTTCACTGGCCAGTATGCATTTAAGTTTCTTCAGTACCTTTTCATGGATTGAAAGCTCATTTCTTTTTTTCCCCAGAATAATTAGTCCATTGTTTGATGTTCCACAGTTTATTTGTTTTCTTATTGAAGAACAACCTGACTTCTTGTAAACTTTGACAAGAACATCTATAAACACACTAAAAATTAGGCTACAAACTTTGCAGGATGTAAAAGTGAACATCAATGAGATGTTCTCTTTCTCCTAGAAGCTTATAATCTATTGTTCTGATTAGGACATTATAGGGTTTCCTGTTACGCCATCTGTTGAATTTATTTATTTACTTTTAAAGATTTCTTTATGTATACAAGAACTGGGGTACAGGCCAGAGGTGCAGGAGGGCATGAGAGGATTTACCAGTGACAGAGTGGGGGCTAGAACCGATGGATTAACCAAAATAGAGCAGCAGGTGGATCAGGAGAGGTCTGCTGTGCCAGGTGGGTCAGTTCCTGGTGGAGGATTGAACTAGTGCTACAGTGGCTGTGGAGAGCTCGATAGTGCTGTGACTTAACCCCTTGGGCCGCCAGGGAGGGCCCACTTGTTGAATTTCAATGTCCACTAAAACATAGTATGGATCAAGAAGAAACACAAGCCCAGTCCAAAGACCCGAGGAATAATAGAAAACAAGTGGACAAGGAGGAAAATTACCTCACATAAATACTCCACAAAATGAAGCCATATGTTTCAGCCTTTGTCCCCTACTCCTTTTCCTTTGACTATCATACTTAAGAGCATCATGAACTCCTACTTAACAGATGGATCTTAGAAGTTACTTTGTTTGCAGTCATAAAGGATAGAGATTCTTTTTGAAAAACTGTCAGGGAGTTAAACTTTTTAAAAAGTTACATGTGACATATACTTTATGAAGTACATAAATCTAGTGCTCAACTTGATAATATTTTACAAAGTGAAAACACCTGTATATCTACTTTTCAAATCACGATAGTGAACATTTTTATAAGCCTAAAAGTTTCTTCTATATCTTTCCCTAGTCAATTCCTTCAATAGTCAAACATAGTTTGATTTCCATAATCCATGTATATTTTTAATACTGTGGATTTAATATGATGGGTTAAATTATCTGTATTTTTAAAATATTTTATAAACTAGCTTATTCTTCCAAGTAAGTTTTGTTATCAACTTGCTAACTTTTATTATATTGTAAAGAGATTTTAAAGATAGTGTTATTTTACAAAGATCTTGCTATAAAAACTAATGCTAAACAAAATACAGATTTTAAAAATATATTGAGGCTTGATTATGTATTTTTAAAACTTCTGTTTACATGAAAGTGATATAACTTGTTTACCCAGTTCCAGGTCCTATATTGTTTTAAAGTTACAAATTACATTACCATAAAGACACATACCTAATTCCGATCTTTTAAAAGTGAATTCCCACTGGCTAAAATTTAAAAGATTGATGGAGTAATTAATATGGAATGTTAAATTTAAAAGGTACCATAACACATAATCTAGTTTAACCTATCATTTTTCAGATGGGAATTCTGAGGTTCAGAGAGCTACGTGATTTCCTCCACGGCACACAGCCTTGATTAGAAGGATGGAAGTCTTACTGCCCCCTGCTTATATATGAGGTGTTTATGTGTGTGATATGCAGATTGCCCACTAACTGAAAATAGTGATGCGTTTGGTCATTCATCATGTATCTACTAGGAGATCTGCTCCTGTAAACTAGGAAAATTGCAGAGTTCTGTCTTGTAAAGGAGTTATCACATCATGGGACTTTTGTTAGAAATATGTCAGAATCAGAAATGCTCTCTAGGAAATGGCCAAAGCCCAATCTGATGAATGAAACGCTAAGTGGCAGGAGAAGTACATAAATGTGCACATAATTTTGAAATGCATTGCTCCATTAGCTTGGGTTTCAGATCCATTTATTCATCTCATTTTTTGCCTGCGAAACTGTCACACTAATAGTTATGTCTCAAATTCAATTATTTTAAAAATAGAAAATGATTCACACTGAACTGCCAGTGCCTTACTGTTGGGAGAATAAAATAGTCTTGCTGAAAATTCAGCTTAGGTCTCATCACTACCATTCACAAAGCAAAGATTTTAGAATTTAAGAACTAATTCATGACAAAAGCTTGCACATTTTAATGGCCTGGACATATCTGGTTGACTGATGAGCATTTATTCTGTAATCCTACGGTATGATTTGGCCCTGAATCGAAAGTTACCTGCAAGTGGCGGCAGTTCCAAATGAATCTTTTTTAAAAGATGTATTTATTCATCCATACAAGAGTGGGGGTTCAGGCTAGAGGTACAGGGCATGAGAGGCTTTGCCAGAGACAGAGTGGGGAGAACAGGCAGATTCAACTGAAATGCTGAGGAGAGCAGCGGGCGAGCCAGGAGAGCTCTACAAGGAGGACTTCCAAGGACAAACTCTGTCTTATATTCAGCTTTTTTCTGTGTTAGTGCACAGAGGGTACTTAGAACAGTGCCCAGCAAGAGGTAAGCTCTATGGGTGTGTACATGTGTATATGCATGTGTGTGTATACACACACATATACACATAATATATTCTACATATACGAGTAACATTATGTAGGCACACTTTTATATATTCTCACAATATGTTTTATACAGACATAGATAACAGATAAAGATAAATGTTGTCATCTGACATATATGACTAGCAATATCAGTAAGCTGCTGGGCACAGGACCCAGAGATAAAGTATTTATCACATTAACAATTTTAACCACACACAGTGTATCTTTTAAGCGACTATCTATTGAACTTTTGGGTTTTCCTATAAAACTTATCTAACACAATTAAGTTATCTACACAATTAAGTTCCATCAAAAAAATGTCACTACGAAATGGCAGATTCTGGAATGCTATTTATTAGCCTCAGTAATCCTATTTGATACAAATGATATGTCATCCTACCACCAGAAAAAATGGAAAGAGCTCCCAGGGCCTCTGAGTGCTAAGTCTTTCCTATAGGCATCACCTTTGTCTCTTTACCTGGAGATGTGTCCCTTTCCTCCCCCTCCCACCCCACCCCTCCCCGCAAGAAGAGTGGTGGCACCTGCCAGACTCCAGCAAGGAAGCACTTTCCGTACACCACCTGCTGTGTATGATCCTGGCCAATTTCATTCACAGCAAGCCGTAAAGGATAAAACGCCTCACTGTCTTGCTAATCCCGGTTGCCAGCAATTATCTCAGAAAAGGTAGTACCTTTCACAGTGCCTATTAAAAGGCCCCTTTGACCACAGATAACATCTTTTAGAAAAATACACTCCAGGGAAAAGTCTTGAGGACAGGAAGATTATCCAGGCTTTCAGGAATCTCCACACTGAAAAAGGCCTCAAATCATGTATTTGGTCAAATCATTTGTTTGGGGCAGCACATTCTAAATTAAATGAAAGAATTTCCTGAAACTACAAAATTGCAGGGGAGAAGGTCATTGGAGGGAAAGAGAGGAGCAGAGCAATTCCTTCTGCCCTGTTTTAAGGGTTGAACCAGACAGATATCACAAGCAGTCCTTCCCCCATTTCCGGCAGCCTGTGTTTCCCTGACAAGAACCTCGAACACAGAGAGAGTGATATGAATCACTTCTCAATCTCATAACTAACAGTCAAGTGAACTGCCAGGGACTGGAAGAGGAGCTGACCTATCAGCAGAGACAGGAACTCGAAGTGACTGAAACAAGTTCAGCAGCTCCCAAGTTCACTAAACAGTGCTCAAGACTCACTAATGCAGAACTGGGGGAGGGAGGTGGTCACTGAGGCAACAGACAGCGTGCCATGAAGTGGGAGCCAAGGGCCAATAAGCAATGCAAAGACCTCCATGGAGGGGCTCTGAGCCAACCACCACCCCTGATCCAGAGCGCTGATCCTCAAGCCTTGCAAGAACCACTTATGGAGACTTGTAAGGATGCCTCCATGTTCTGCGTCAGTTCCTCTGAAGCTGCATGTAAAACAAGCACACAGGAGACCGCAGAAGTGCAGTAAGCGGGCAGACTCTAGAGCACAGGAGATGTGTGCTTCTGCTCCTGGAAGCGTGCAGATGTGCCAGTTCTATGACTCTGCAAGTCTGGACTGACCTCGAACCAGCAGACCGGAAGTCTCAACTCACACGCCTTGATTTTCAGGAGTAATTGAAAAGCCCACAATTTTAAAATGATGGGAACATTTTATAATTCCAATTAGTGTGATGAGAAAAAACTGGAATTTGCTTTTCAACCCACTGATGACAAGATAAGTAGAAAGCTAAGGAGTCAAAACTTCTGTAAACAAAGCTATCTGAAGTTAAGGGAAAAAGTGGTGAATAAATGTGGGAACAGTCAAGTTAGATAAATTCTTTGCTCATACTAAGGAAATAATACCTCCCACATCTTTGAAAAGATTTCCAGATTCTTTCAAACTTCAATTTACAAGCTAAGTAGCTATCACTGTCCTTTTTTCATGAAGTGGAAGCAGAATCAAGGAGACACATGAGTCATATGGGCAAAGTAAAGAAATTACACAAAAAAAGGCTTTTTAAAAAGCCCTAAGAGGGCCCTCCCTGGTGATAAAACAGGTTCAAGCACAGCACTATGAAGCTTCTGCAGCCACTGCAGCATGAGTTCAATCCCTGGCCGGGGAGGTGACCCACATGGCACAACAGACCTCTCCTGACCCACCCACTGCTCCCCTCAGCAGTGTGTTTCAGCAGATCTACCTGTTCTGCTCCCCACTGTTTCTGGTGAATCCTCTCACTGCCTGCACCTCTGGCCTGTACCCCAGTTCTGTATTCATAAATACATAAATCTTTTGTATATTTTTTTCATCTCAATTGTAATCCCTGTGGGTTTCCCATCACCCAGTCACCCGTGTGCCATCACCAATATATAAATCTTAAAAAAAAAAAAAAAACAAACAGGAAATTCTTCAATCATAGGAACTGTCATGGAAAAAGACTGTGTAGTAGTTGCTTAGAACACAGGATGCTCACTGAGCATTCTCCCCACCCAGCCCTCCAGGGTGAGGCTGTGACCACAGGCACACACAGGTTCACACACATGCTCTGACATCTGAAAATGCCCTAGGAATGTGGGCCCCACTTGCGGGGGGATAAACAAACAAACAAAACCCAATCCATCTACCAGTTCTAGATCTTACGGACTTCTTCTTGAAATGGAGTCTCTTAGACTTCCCTGATATGAGCCCAAAAAATAAATGATAGCATCTTCTTGAACTGAGCATGTAATTATGCAGACAATAAAGACTAAACTGAGAATTTGCAGTAAAGTCCTCAAGGCTACCCACTTTCTAGGGAGGTGAGGTGCTGTAGAAATATTGTGTATAGCTAAGGATTGTTTTGTGTGTTAACTTTGAAAAGTAGGGACTAATTTAGATCGGTTTAGCTAATGAAGTCTATTCATCATTGCTACATCAAAAATTTTCTACAGGGGGCCTCCTTGGTGGTGCAGGGGTTACGTCTTAATGCTATCAAGCTATCACTAGCCACTGCAGCATGAGTTTGATCCCCGGCCAGGCAGATGACCCACATGGTGCAGCAGACCTCTCCTGTCTTACCAGCTGCTCCCCTCAGCAGTGTATTTCAGTGGCTCCATCTGTTCTGCTCCACACTCTGTCTCTGGTGGATCTTCTCACGCCCCGTATGCTAGCCTGCACCCCAGCTCTTATATGTCTAAATAAAAAAAAAAGTCTTAAAAAAAAAAACTTTCTGCTGCTTCTTACCCAGCACAAACTGAGACCCAGCTGCTCACCCACAACCAAGATGGGAGGTTAAAAATCTCTGCTTTTGTGATTTGGGGTTTGAGGCCCAGTCACCCTGGCCCACATTATCTTCATGTGACCTTTTCCAACTGACAGCTACAGTTGCCTCTCGTTGCACCTGTATTTTAATGGTCTCAGAGGACGACTTTTGAAAATTGTGATACTTGAATGGAACATCCAATCTTATTTTAAGGCTTAATGTCTCAAACCTCATCTCCAAATTTGGATGAACATTTTTCCAGCCATTTCTGTTTGGTGATGGAACAATTGTAGACCAAAACTGTACATGTGAACGTTTGCTTCATCAAAGTGAGTCATCTTAAATTACGACAGAGTGACTCGGTTTAAAATGCTTTGAAGTTGACATAAACAATTTGAGCTGAGATTGGGCCTAAGGAAGATTAAATACTATGCAAAAAGTTAGGATTATCACATAGCAGTAGGGTAGAGTAAAGAGTTCACATAGCAGTAGGGTAGAGTAATCCACAGATAAATGGAAAGGAAACGACCTCCTTGCTACCCCAAAGGTTTCGAGGTCAGGACACTGCAAATGGCTGGCACTCCCTTATTTACAGTTTAGTAGATAAAATCTAGAGTGTATGACTCCAGCGTAAGTCAGCCCCAAAGACAAGTCCACCACGTTAATTCCTGTAGTCTATTCATCCAAAGGAATTACAAGCATTTGGATCATCTACTATCTCTTACCTTCACCAAATACTGCTATGCCCTTAAGCTCTGTGTCTGCTCTCCTCCCTCTCCCTACCTTTTTACTCTTCTACAGTTACAGAGATAGAAGAAGAATGAGGAACAATAAAAGCTGCACATAGTCAGATATCCTAGTTGGTCTCTGTTCACCATTGTAGAAGCTGCCTCTAAAGGACATGTAGGGAATCTTTTAGAGCTTTGAAATTCAGCTTCAATACAGTGCTGATTTATTACACTGCACCCCAACCACCGAATCCAACAGACCAGATGCTGGGGCCTCCTTCATGCTTACTTCATGCTGGTGCCTCTGGCTTCATTTTTACTGTTGTCCAGGTTGAGACATTGTTCCAACCACACCCACATTCTGCACTAGGTTGACTCCCTGTCCCGGTTTACCCAGGTCTGAGGGATTTCCTGGAACATTGGATTTTCAGTGCTAAAATGAGGAAGAGTTGATCCGGTTAACCCTGACACTCACTAGGTGGGCTGCTTCAAACCTAACACCTCTGCTTCAAGGTGTGGGTAGAATCGTTATCTGAATTCTGCACAGAGCAGGGGGGAAGTATTGCTGAAGGCAGGGGACTAGGCAAGAGGTCCGCAGAGCCATTGACCACAGTTATCACTCTGTAGAAGTCCACCTCTACTCAGAGGAAATCTTGGCCAATTGTAGACACCCAATAGACAACACCTGTTCACCCAGTCTGATTTGGGAATGCTAGTCCCCCTGACTGAAGATTACTTGTATCAGACCATCAAAGTACACTGCTGAGGGGAGCAGCGGGTGGGTCAGGAGAGGTCTGCCACGCCATGTGGTTACCTCCAGGGCAGGGATCAAACTCATGCTGAAGTGGCTTTAGCGTCTCAGTGCTGTGCTTTAACCCGCTACGCCACCAGGAGGCCCTTATTGAGCACATTTACAACATGGTACATAACCACCATCTACCTCTAGTACTTTTTCATCTTGTAACAGGGAAACTCCACTCCCATAAACCACTGGCTCGTCACTCTCCTCTCCCACCCTCTCCCACCATTGCCAACCATGCCAGCCATCCTTCTATTTGCTGTCACAATGAATTTGATTCCTCTAGTTACTTCATTTAAGTGGAGTCACTGGCTTATTTCACTTAACATAATATCTTTCAGATACACCCATTCTGCAGCATGTGTCAGAATTTGCTTTTAAGGTTTACTAAAAGTAATCTGTTGCACCTCATTATGGACTGACATGTTTCTCCCCAAAATCAATTTGATGCCTAGTCTCTGATGTGACTGATTTGGAAGACTGACCCTTTATGGAGGAAATTATGTTAAATAAGGCCTTATAGGTGGGGTCCTTATCCCATACAACTGTTGCCTTTTATAAGAAAAGGAAGGAATGCAGGAATGCTCTTCCTCTTGCACGCATTCTCTCACTTTCTTCCCTCCTCCCGCCTTGCTTTCTGAGTGTTGAGGGAAAAGACCAAGTGAAGACAAAGTGAAAAGGCCACTGTTTGCAAACTAAGCTGAGGAGTCTCATCACTGATTCTGAAGGCACTTGGACTTCCAGCCTCGGAACTGTGAGGGAATATGTTTTTAAGTTACCCAGTCTGTGGTATTTTGTTATAGCAGCCCACGGAGACTAATACACACATCTACGTCACACACTGTTTATATCCATAGATGAACACTTGGTTACTTTATACCTTTATACTTTTTGACTATTTTGACTATTGTGAATTAACCTGTTCTGAAGATGGATGTAAAAATAGGTCTTCTAGGCCCTCCCTGGTGGCGCAGCGGGTTAAAGCACAGCACTGAGAAGCTAGAGCCACTTCCGCATGAGTTCGATTCCTCCTGCCCCGGAGGTGACCACATGGCGTGGCAGACCTCTCCTGACCTGCCCGCTGCTCCCCTCAGCAGTGTACCTCGTCGATCTGCCTGTTCTGCTCCCCACTCTGTCTTTGGTGAAGCCTCTCACCACCCCTGAGCCTCTGGCCTGTATCCTAGTTCTGTATGTACAAATAAATAAATCTTAAAAAAAAAAAATAGGTCTTCTAGGCCCTGCTTTCACCTCACAATTGCTGGATCATATGGTAATTCTCTGCTTAATTTTTTGAGGAATCATCATAGCACTTTGGGGAGCACTTTCTATAGCAGCTGTACCATTTATATCCCTATCAGCAATGTAAAGGGCTATAACTTTCCCTCATGGTAAAAGCATTTAAATACGATATTTTGGTTAAAGGTGAAGAACCTGTGGCCACTGAGTAATAATTGCAGACTTGGGATGATTAACCACTTAATCAAATGTGGGAAATTAATTTGCCTTCCTGTAAGCTATAATGCAACAATACGAATGACTACTTTTGACAGCAAGCTCAAAATAAGCAGTATCATTTGGTGTCAGCCCCCTTCATCAAAAATTGTTTCAAAATTCTGTGATGCTGTGTTTGCCAGGACTATTCCTTGTCAACGGAAATACATTTTCTGATCATTCCCTTCTGGGTA